TATGTGTGCCACAGGTTCACAACCACTATCCTAGGTCCCTATAGCAATGAGGAACTGGGACACAACAGAGATAACCTGTAGGACCTAAGAAAATATATAAAGATGCTCCCCTCAGCAATACACTTGAAAAAGCACTTGATTAAAGTAGGAAGGTCTATTATTCATGTTTTATCACAAAGTTTAGAGGAAAAATTAAAACTGACATGCATACAAAGATCATGACACTAGAGAGTATAATTCATTTGTTCAGTTGGCAAAAAAAGCATTTATTGAACATCTATTAATAGGCAGTACTTAAAAGCTTACAGGGCTGGCCAGATATGGTGGCGCATGACTAATCCTAGCGCTTGGGAGGCTGAAAGCAGGAGGATCACTACTACTAGTCCAATCTATGTAGTGAAACCCTGTAGACCCTGTACTAAATAAATAAAAACTAAAATAAAACCTTACAGTCTTGTGGTTAAGAGACAAAAACCTAGTGCAAAAGCATGTAATATAATTACTAGCTGTGGTAAAGACCACGCTAGGTAAGTCACAATGAGAAGCAATTTTCATGAGGGGTTGAGAAATAAGGAAGGCAGGGCACCTACATAAACAGAGTGTCAGGTATGCACAAAGACTAGACAGTAAAACATGGATGAGCTTCTGAATTGCAGAGGAGCAGGGCTCCTGGGGCAGGTCAGAGAGCTGGACAGCTGAGAGCATAAGCAAACTGGCCAGGTTCTGGGCTCCTCCAGGCTCCTCAAATGCCCTGTGGTCCTTGTATCTGACTGAGATTGTAAAACTTAGGTCTTGCATTCTACCATTTACTGAACAACTGGGTTTGGTCAAAGCTTTAACTTTTCTTGCTGTATGAATGAGAACAGCAACACTGTACCACAGTGCTAGAATGATCAAATAAAACAGCATCTGAAACACATGATGCAAGTGCTGTCACTGTTTACTGTGAGTGTAATGGTGGAGAGGAGGAGCAGGGAGGTGGGAGAGGGGATGCTGATGACAGGTTTTCAGGAAGCTTTAAACCCTCTGTGCAAACAATCTGAAATCAAACACTTCTATGTTAGCTTAAGAGATCCCTCCTGCAAGTGTTCCACATCCATAATACCTAGGGCAATTAAAGGCACTTGGAAGTGCCCATGGGATGGGCACTATAATTCTGTGAACTCACGTGAACTAAGACTACTACTAGAATGTAGTGGGCAGGGACCAAGGTCACCAATGGTTTGCAACAAATGATCCATCCCCATATATCAAATAGCCACTCAACTCAAAATACCAATAGTGCCCTACAGAGAACCACTGGTAAAGGTCTAACAGAGGAAGGTTCAGTAAATGTGTACTAAACAGATGGATGATGCTTGGACTATTTATTCCCTTCAGGGCAGGGAAGATTGGCAGGCCCTTCAGATCAAGTTTGCAGCCCCCTTCTCTCCTCCAACTCCCCACCCTTGAACCTGACACAAAATAAGCATTTAGTGTCTATCTCTTTAAAAACTGAATGAAAAGTCAAAACAATCTATTCAACTGCAAGAAAGCATAGCTATTTGACATGGGTAAGTTAAAGTTGACAGCACTGAACACATTTTCTCCAGGAGGTATTAGAAAGATACTGGAAAGACCATACCAAACCCAGAGGCCATAGGCTTTGCTCCCTCGTCTGATGTCTACTCTCAATTCTGAAATACAAAAGGCCCCCAAAAAGTCAGAAAAGATCATGCTTTATAGGTATAATCTTATTGTCTAGAAAAAAAATTAACTCAAAGGTATACTCTTCTCTAGATATTTGTTTAAAGGTAAATTCAGCTACTTAGATGTCTACTTCTTTTGGAAGAAACAAGCCAACAAGACAGTACAAAGACTGTTTCCTATTACATACTTTGTGTTTCCAAAGAACAAAAGTAGTATTCTCAAAGACTGATATGATGAGACCTAAGCAAGTATTTAAAATAGCAAAAAGTTGCAAAGCAATGAAAGGAAAGATAATATCAAACAATGGAAAAAGATAAAGCAACAAAGCTTTTTTAAAGAATCACAGCAAGCCACTCATGGTGATCTGGCAGAAAACAAGGATATATAAAGCAATACATGAAAACCAGAGTAAAACAGTATGCAGTAGGAATGTAACTTTAAAAAAAAAATATGAAATAATGGAATAACTTAGCAGGTTTGTAAAAAAGGTGTAGAAATAAAAATTTAATTCCTGCAAATATGTTTCCTATTCATATACTTTATATTTTTAAGTGATAACTTCTCTAACACGTTTGCTCAAATTAAAAATCAAATGGCAAGTATCTCAAAACTTGACTCTCTGAAAAACAAAGAAAATTTTTAATAGGATCTTTCCATATCTCAGAGTAGTCAAACACTGCTGTGTTGTTAAAAATAAACTATCAATAGCAATAAAACTATACATTTCACTACAGGAGCTTATAAAAGAACAGATTCCCAGAAGACAACATATAAGCAAACAGATAAATAAGAAGCTGTCATCCACAGTGATGTCAAAATTTAATACTATCAGATGTTTCTTAATTTTCTTTCTTTTTTTTTTGTGGTACTAGGGATTGAACTCAGGACCTTGGACTTTCCAGGCAGGAGCTTATTCTACTGAGCTATCTCCCAGGCCCAAAGCAACTTTTTTTTTTTTATTTGCGGAACCAGGGATTGAAGTGAGGCCCTTGAGCCAGGCGTTATTCTACTGAGCCATCTCCCAGGCCCCCTCCTAATTTTCTTTTTTAGAGAAGTTAAATGAATCAGCAACAGAGGTAATCTCCCAGGACAAGACTGATTTACCTCAACAAAGTGTTGATATGGGAAAAAGTAGAAACATACTTTGTTTTTTGTTATATACATTAGAACAAATATTTGAATACAGAAGTACAGTATGACTACAGTGGTACTGAGAACATACATTTTTAAACGCTGCATGTTTTGCAAAGGGAGAAGTGTATCTTCCAACAATACCAAAAAAAAAAAAAAAAAAAAAAAAAAAAAAAAAAAATCAACAATGAACCAGAGACAAAAGAACTCTTTCAGAAGTAGTACCTGTGAGAGGAGATTCCAGCAGGCAGAAAGAAGCTGGATGTAACACTTAAGGGCTCTCCTTTGCAGCCTCATACTTCCCTATTCACCCACTCTGCAGTGAAAACAAGGACTAGGAAAATGACCTCTGGTGTCTACACAGCTTTCTTCTCAATTATTACCTCTTCTTGCAGAAGCCCAAGCACAGGCCATACAACTGGACATATAGCAAGTTCACGACAACTGATTGCTACCATCTAGGTCTGCACATTTAGGAGACAGTAACATGTGAGCCAGGAAACAGCCAGCCAGAGGAGATGGTACCTGGCCCTCACTGAGATGCTTATGAGGGTTCACATTCAAGACAGAGAGAGAGACAGACAGACAGACAGAGACAGAGAGATGGAAAGAGACACAGAGAGAGACAAACAGGAAGGAAGAAAGAAAAGAAAGAAAAATCAACTCCCAAAGGCACCCTAAGGAGCTGATGTCATTAAATATTAAGGAGGCCTTCCAGCTGTCACAAACTCATCACAAACTCAGCTTTTTTATTAATAAATGTTTGCAATATATGTTTACATTCACTTATGTAGTAAATACATGCACCTAATATATCTTATTTTTAATCCCCTTTCCTTCCTCCAGCCCATTTTTTTCAGTTCAAGACAAATCCACTTTTAACAAGAAACTTGATGCCCACAAAAACTAATTATATAAGGATCTACTGAATAAAAAGACTTTATATAGTATCACCTGATAAAATGCACAGTTCTCCTAAAGTTCCTACAATTTATTACTAACACAGCAGCCCTGGTATAAAGCCCAACTTACAAGCTTCTCTTATAAATGGAACACGACTACTTCACCTCCAAGCAAAGTACATAAGTGGTTTACTTTAGTACATTATTTGTATCTGTGGCTTTAATAGTTTCAATGTTTTATTATAACAAAAGCATTTCATGTGGAAATCTAAGTATCTTCTTTGTAACCAAAAACTAAATTCATATTTTATGGAATACAATGCACTGTTTTTGAGCAATGAAATTCATTACCTTCTGATCTAATCTTACATTCAGGTTTTCATCCCATAGGCATTTTGCAATCTGAATAGAATCAAAATTTCGTTATGGAAAACACCACAATTTGGAGAGTATCAAATGGATACCACAGGTCGTAAACGTGTTGGCTCGGCAACTATTTTGGCAGCCATAATTCATTTTCCCTACAAGGCCATTATGATACCTAAAGCTGATTCACGCAGTTCCCTGTCAACTTCACATTTTGTTCTTCAAATGACCATATCCTAAATTTATTTTCAAAAACAACAAATCCCTCTCCTTCCTCTAAAAAAATGAAAAGGACCCACCTTTTCACCCAAAGGCTTTAATCACCATTTACCTTGTTCAAAGGGGGCAATTTTTTAATGACGTTTTTCTTTATGAGACTAGCACAAATCACATCTCACGGGCCTACCTCTAAAAATCGCAACACATTAGCATTAATTGTGATCAACTTGTTTTAAAAATCGAAAGGCATCCATGCTTGTTTTCACAAGGACATCTGAAGGTCTTTAAAGGGAAGGCTACGGTATTCTGCGCGCGTACTCTGCTTCACAATCTGCAATCATTTATTCACTCGCGGGCAGCCCACCCAGCCGGCGCTCCGTGCCTACTGCACGTGTCACTGAACGACAGGCTCCTGCACGCGCACACCTCTACCTAACGGGTACAGGGTTTCGTTGCGGATTTCCCTCGCTCCTCCATCTCCCCCTTATAAAATTGCATGCTCCCTCCGTCAACGCTGTCCCTAAATTAGCCAAAGGGGGAGCGAGGTGCGGGAGGCTAAACCTCCCTCTGCAGCGGGCGGGCGCGCATGCGCAGTGCCGGCCGGCCGGCGCCGCAGGTCCTCGGCAGGCGGCCCGGGGCCCGAGGGCTAACCGGGCGGGCGCAGTGGCGAGTGGGGCGGACGGGCACACTCACAATTTCAGCATCCACTCGCCCTCCATCACCAGCGTCCAGTTGGAAGCGGTCATGGGCTGCACCCGGCTGGGCTCCGCCGGCACCAGGGCCTGCTCGGGGCCCTCGGCGGCCGCCCACGCCGCGACCCAGGCTACCAGAAGCGCCGTCCGCAGAGGGCCGCAGCGCCCGCCCGCCATGATGCCGGCGCGGCGACGCTGCTCCGCGGCTGAGGGCCCAAGGACTCGAGTCGCGGCCTCGCTGGCCGGCCCGCCCGCCTGACCTGCCTCCTGAGGCGGTGGGGGAGATGGCAAGCTACCCCGCCCCGCCTCCGCCGCCCGCCCCGCCTCCACCCGCGCCCGCGCCCGCGCTGCGCTCAGCGACCCGCCGCGAGGAGGGAGGGCGGGCGGCCCCGGCGCCGCCTCTTATCAGCCTGGGCCGCGAGGCCACGCCCCTTCGCGCCGCGCCGTTGCCCGGGGTGCCGGTTGCCACGGCAACGGCCTCCCTCTCCTCAGACCGCCAGGCTGAAAATAAACAGAGGACCCAAGGTTTAAATGAGAGCTTGTGCCACGGGCACTCAGCCCCAGGAAGAGGGGTGGGATAAGCGGCCCGGGCCCCTGGGCCGAAGAGAATAAAGGGCACCTGTAATTTAAAAATCCGTCTCCTCAGTGGTGTCAAAAACAACTGCGCAGACTGCGGAATAGCTGCGTAGTGAATATGCAGATTTACGTGTGCTGTGAATGTGTACCTCAGAGAACCTTACCACCTCATCGGTCATAATAATGCGACTCGCTCATACAAGGCATTTTCTTACAAAACCATTTCAAAGTTGAACAAATTTTGAAAACATAAATACAACAGGTAAAATGAGACAGCTGGCAGTATTCCTACCAATCCGAATAAAATGGACCTAGTGTTTCTTTCAGCTGGAGTTTTGTTATATCTAAAATGGAAGTAGCCTGAAATAATTTCCGTATCTTTTTTAACGTGAATATTAGATGAATCTGTAGCTTCGGATCACGGCACTTTGAATGTACTGAAGAGTGATTTCAATTAGAGAGTGGGTGAGTTTTTTCAACGTGTGCTTTAGTATGACTTACTAGGTGCGCAGAGCTGAAATTCAGTTGTGTGGTTAATATATTCTGAAAATTAGGTAGTTTCTGGCCTGGATTTCAAACAGATAGCTTTACAACTGATGATATCAAGGGTACACATGATTAATCTCCAAACAGTAAAATAGGAAAGATTAATTTTGCTTGAACAGATCTTACTTCAGTTAGCTGCTAATTAGTATTAGGTAGAAGCTATGTAGTCCTAGCTCTTCCCACCGAAATATAAGCTGAAGAACTTCTCAACTATTGTAAATTAGAAAAATGCCTTTGTCACTAAGGCATTTATGAGCATGTATCAATCCTACAAAGTCAATGAAAACACTGTACTGCGCTTATAAAAAGAAACAAATCACAAGCACAAAACCTGTCCTTTCCAAGGTAGCTTTTTTGTACAGAATACGGGATGAGTGAAACAAATAATCTTAGCACCTGCTATTGCTAATTGCTGCCGATTTTGTTGAATATAATAATGGTGTTATAACCATATTTTAAGTCACTATTGGTTATCGTATTTATGGGTGAAATAATAGGATGTTTAGAATTTGCTTTGCACTTCTCCAGAAATAAAATGTGGACAGTAGAGGGAAAATGAATGAAACAAGAGTGATACAAGATGGTGATACTTAACTGATCGTGTCAATTGTGTACAAAACACCCAACTAAGTAGGCTCAGCATAGTTTGGGGAACAGAAATGAAGAAGGAAGGGTTGCTTCTGCTTCCTGTGGAGGAGCTCAAGCCTTTGCTTGCACCTTGGATGTCATCTCCTGGCTGTCAGTGAAGACCCTTCCTTCGGCCTCCAGCAACAACCTTCTGCCTTCTAGTGCCCACCCTTCGGCCTCCTGATAGGGAGTCACACAGGCCACTCACTATACGGGGCTCCAGGCCTTTGACTGGATTCTTCAGGTCCCCAGTGCACAGACAGACCTTTTGTACTCTTCCATGTCTGACTCAGTGGCTGGCCATCGTGCACCAATCTGTGAATTCTCATGTATTTGTACATCTTCTATTATATCTGCTTCTCTGGTAAACACTGAGTCACACAAAGGGTCAGTGTGTTAACCTTATGTTCAAATTCCTATGTTACCTACTTTGATAGGTGTTGGAACATTTTAAAATGAGGAAAAGAGCAAGAGCCTCTGAGTCACAAAAGACTCATCACTGAATCACTTGCTACCTCTCATATGTCAAGGGTTAGCCATCTTGGCCTTTAGACAGAGGGGGGCCCATAGGAAGCAATGCAGCAAGCCTGTGTGAGAGACACTTGCCCTGGGAACAGGGAACGATGCAGAACAGAGAAAGCGAGCAGTCGTGAGACCATGTTGTCATCTAAGCCCTGACAATTTGGGGACATGTGATCTGAGGCTGACACTAGTTTCCTCCAAGCTCCTGCTCAAATGCAAGAAATGGTAGGCCCTGCTCCAAAAAGTAGCAGTGAAGATGATACAAGTATAATACCCAGTGCATGGTATGACTCCAAAAATAATTAGTATTATTTGGAGGCAACAATATCCTATGAGGCTTTTACAGAACTGTGTGCCCTAAAGCCAAATTCACTTAGCATAACACACAATGTTCTTCACAATCCAGCTTCAGTTTCCCCCACTTGCCCTCCTTCATTCCCACAATCCCTATGATCTGGTAACACAGAGCTACTCCCATTCCCCAGGCACCCTGTGTACTTTCATGCCTCCTTGCTTCTTCAGTGTTTATAATAGTTACCTAGTGAGTCATGAGGCAGCCTCTACCACGTAGCTCACGCTGTACCTCATCACCCATGCAGACAGTGTCTTCTCAGGTCCAACAGTTCCTCTGTATAACTCTACCACAGCCCTTTCACATTTAACACAATTCGTTTCCCTCTCTCCTCCATTCTCCATCCCTTTTACAAAATTCTTCAAGGTTGAGGTCTTTATCTTCCATATCATTACATCTCTTACATAACAGAATACCCACCAACTAGCAGTAGGCATTACAGTAGGCAGCTTCTGGCATGTTCTTCCAGATTCCCATCTGCTGGTGCTCAGGCCCTGTGGGATTTCTTCCTCTTGAGTGTGGGCTGGGCCTAGTGACTCACTTCTAAGTAATAGGGTATGATAAAAGTGGTAGAATATTCTATAATAAATTTACAAACAGGTGGTCTGGATGATTCCCTGGATTCTCAAGGGACTTCACATAGGAACAGTGTAAATGTTTTGTGCAAACCCATTCAAGTTAGCCATTGCTGCACAGTCAGCTATCCAGAGCTCATCTCTTATCTTTCACTGCTCAGCAGAGCTTTCCTGTTTTTTTTATTACCTTATGGTCTTTCATCTAGTGGAAGATACCTGAAAGCTAAGGTGGAAGTTGGAGGTTCTTGTACTTATATCTGGCACCTGATGACTGGGAACTGATCAGGCATCTTTCTCCCCAGGAGGCTAGATTAGACTTCCCTAAGCATGGCCCTACTTACTTTCTCCATGGCAAGAGTTAGTGACGTAAGAGCTGCACTGCCTCATAGAACCTCCACTGAGAAGTCCAAGAAGCCAGGCCTGGCAATACACACCCGTAAGGCTGAGGCAGAACAATCAAAAGTTCTAGTACAGCCCAGGAAAGTCAGCAACTTAGACCCAGTCTCAAAATAAAATCCTTCAGAAAAGGGCTGGCGGTATACATCAGATCTGCCCGACTAGAAGAAAGAGGTCTCAGTATCCCTACCATCACACAAAGACTAAAGCCCAGCCTAGACTAACAAGCAGCAAAATCAACGGTGAGACTCTTTAATCTAACAAAAAGCCACTGAAATTTGGAATTGTCACTGAAGCATTGCCCAGCCTGTTCGGACTGACCCACCATCTTCTTCTGGTGATTTAATCAGAGTTAGCTTAAGAGGAAGGAGGTGATATTTCCATAAGAGAGAACAGGAACTACCACTTCCCTTTCACCTTTTGCATTTAGCATCTGAGACACATGTTTTGGCAAAAGACACTGGTGCGAATTGTTTTCAAGCCCCCAGGAAGCCAATCCTGATGGTAGAAACTCAACCCATAATTGCCAGCCAAAGACTTCGATGTCGTTGAGAATTTAAAACTCAATGTTAAGAAGCTATTGAAGGAGAGATAAGATAATTGCATTCAGATAGCAAAAGTTCTATATAGTAAGATATAGGAATAATAATATATAGCAATTTCCCCATGGAGGATCGTGCAACTGATATGGAAATATTAAATAAACTAAGCAATGCTGTAAAATTAGTCTATAAAGTAATAATAGAAAAGGAATTTAATTACACAAACAGATTTGCTAAATGCCTTACAGGAACAAGAGAGAGAGGGAGAATTTAAATAGGACACAGTAATATGTCCTAGAACAGAAGACAGAAGAAGCCATGACAGGGAAATAAGATGAAGTGTACCCAGAGTAATTAATAAAAATGAATCCAGAAACAGCCTTACGAGTCTTCAAGAAATAACCCTAGGTCTATATCCCAATGTAAGAAAATCAGTTGTTTTTTTTAAGAACTAATAAGTGAGCCCAGGGAATCACCGGCTGCATATAGGTGAAAGGCATACAAGTCATTTTTCTTTACGCCAGGAGGGAATAATTTTAACATACAGCATAGACAAAGATTCCACCCAATGGGAAAATACTTAAAAATCTATAAAAACATGAAAGACTTAGGATAAAAGCTATAGGATTTTATTAAACATAGAGATAACTTTTCCCATGATAAATCTAATCCAGTGCTGTACAAAATTTAATCAGCATCTTTTCTATTTCTAAAACTCTATCTCAAAGTTTAATGCTTATGACTACCTAGTAAGATTTTGAAAAAGAGAAATGTTGTAGGTCTTGGTTCTCTTAGGTATTAAAATCTCTTAGGTAAAGTTACAATAAAACAGGGAGATGGTGCTACAAAAACAAGTAGAGAAAGAGATCACTATAAAGACCTAAGAAAACACACACACACACACACACACACACACACACACATCCCACACACACACGCACTCACACAGACACGCATGCACACACAACTATGTGCACCTACATATCCTGTACCTCCAAATAAGTTGCTGGATTCATTGAAAAATATTTTAGTTCTAGATCTACTTAGTAACAAAAGTGAAAATGCTCTTGAAAATTTTTGGAGACTAATTCTGTATTTTTCTAACGGGCAAAGACTTCTCAGTTACACATGAAATAATGAAGCCATA